TATATATATATATATTACAATCTGCTATAGGAAAGAAAAAATGTGTACAGTTAAAACAGGCAATGTAGTAAATTGATAAAAAGCTATCCATACAATAAGCTCCGTAAACTGATAGTATATAAGGTAGAAACCTTAAAGTGTATTTTCACTTTTGTAGCCAAAAGGTCCCTGTGTGTGTTGTAAAGTAGTCACCGCTCCAAGCTCACTCCTGTGATGGACTACAATCTCAATACAAATTAGTAAACTCCATGGATTGCAGTCCATCATGGAAGCAAGCTTGGAGCGGTGTCTACTTTACAACACACACAGGGACTATGGGGAACAAAAGTAGCCACCCTCCAGAAGGAAGGACAGTGTCAGCACCAATTCAGAGATGATTTGAGGATCTACAACTGAGTGATACACAAATAAGATACATTTTTGTTAATAGTTAAGGCACTTGAATGTATTTTTAAGGTTTAACTCCTGAGTTTAGTGTCACTTTAAGGCTGGCTTCACACCTCCGCATGTGCTGCGACTGACATACCCTGCTATTCACTTTAATCTGCCCTTTAACCCTTTCGCTGCCACCGAATCTCTTATGTCTGTGGCAGCGGGCCCCTTTAAACAGACTCCCAAAGTCTATAGATCTCTGTTTACATTTATGAGGCCAACTGTAGGCTTTACTGTGGAAGCGATTCTGGCGGCTGAGCTACTGCCAGATCACTTCCAGGGGTCACTGAAATGCGCCCCCCTCCCCCCTTGTTTCCCAGGCTCTGCAGCCCCTCCTGCGGGCCCAGCAACTAGAGTTTTGGCAGGAAGACGGGGAAACATCCATTTGCCGAACTCTTCCCCGCTCTAAGGAAGCGGAAGCGACACTGATTGCATCACTTCCAGTCCCTTAGCTGTCATTGCTAAGCTGCAGTAGCAGGGCAATAAGCTATTGGAGCTTGAGCTGTGCTCCAATAGCTTATTTGGAGAGGAAAGGTGACACTAGGGGTTTTTTTAATCATCGTAATCTCATCTTTTATATTTTACAAAAAAATGGGTATTATATTGTGTTTTTGGGCACTAAAATTTATTTGAGTGCATTTTTTACTATATTTTTGGGTTTGATAAAATATTGTGCTAATATCAGACATAAAAATGTGTAAATGCCCCCATTTTATTCTACAGGTTCAGAAAATATCTAATATTTGGGTGTTTTAAGTAATTTTCAGGCCTAAAATGTGCAAAAAGCACAAAAAAGGCTTTGGTAGCGAAAGGGTTAATGCACGTTGATGCATCAAAAAAACAGACATGAACCCTTTTACCCAATGCATGCCAACACACTGCACAGATATGAATTTGCGCTATTAAAAATGATGGAAAAACTGTTAAAACACATAATATGTGAATGGGCCCCTACAAAAAGTATTAAGAAGCACATGTCAGCTAGACAGACAAGACATTTCTGTACCGAGCTGTGCTGAGATAAGTAAGGGCTGCAATTTGTAGGCTATAACTGAACAGTATTCCTTCAAAGGATACCTGTTAAATAGTATAATGAATCAATGAATGAAGATGACAGACAAAGAGTATACATCTTTAAAAGCATCAGTGGCAGCTCCAACATTATAGTCCAGACACATTTATAAACCCTAAACAAGTGAAACAACTTACCTGCTGAGAACCCTGAGACAGTGCATAGATTTGCTGAGCATGGGGTTGATACAAAGGCTGCTGGGATTGAATACCTGGAGACAGATGTCCATTCAAATTGAACTGGTTCATCTAATGTAGAACAGAGTATAAATAATTCTGTACATACAAATTACATTTTACATTACATTTGCTAAGAGGCAACATACTACTACTTACACTGGACACATGTGAACTCATGGTATTAAGACCCAGAATGCTTTGCTGCAAGCTGGCAGGTATATGAATCATTTGTCCAGGCACTGTGCTGGCCAGCTGACCTAGGTACAAAAAAAAAACACAAAATAGAGAAAAAGTCACACAACAGGCATCAATTAACACAACTGGATTTCATTTGACTAGTGTGACACTCCTTATACCTGGCTGCTGTATGACTGAGTTCTGTGATGGAAGGCTGTACTCCATCCGGCTGTTGGTCATCTGCTGTAACCTGGGCACATCCACAGAGGTCAGCCATGACAAGGACTGCAAGTCATTAGGAAGGTCATTTTCTCTCAGTTGTGAAGTGTCTGAAGCCGTAAGTCTGCAAGCATTAGAATAAAGGTAAAGAAAAGGAAAATTATTAACATGAAACACAACAATGAAAATGTATACTTTTTGTAGCCATTTACTTGAAATGGATGGATGTTGAATATTCTAGTTCAGGATACTGGTGAGTTTTTTCACTCATCAACTCCTGGGGACTACTTAACCCAGATCTCAAAGCTTCAGTTCAAGATACCGGCTTTGTGGCTTCCTATTCTCCCAGCTCCATATTACATTATGCACATTTACACAGGCAGTGCCCTAACTCCTGCTTTATTTTCTTTCAGCTATATAACGGTAGTGCTGTATATAAATGATTTTCTGTATCTGTATTATTTCGCCGTTTCTCTTCCACCAGGAAAGCTGATGCTGTGTAATTGCCTAATAAAAGATTCAATATACTGTTGACACATTCTCCGTTAATAGTAATTGTATCGAGGAAGCATCAATATTATACTGTATCATATAAGGAAACCTGGAACACAGTGTTTCTTTCCAATCTATATTTTAGATTTATCTACGCTTTTAGCAGAAAACTTTCAATAAAAATGATTGACAAGCAGATATTTATGTGGATTATTGAACATCACTGCCACGTGTATAATATATACCAATTCATTATAAATCAGCAAAACACATACACACAGTATTCTCAGATGATCAATTTTACAGTTATTTACTATGAAGCATTCATTCATTCAACAATATACCTGTAATTCAAAAGTAAGTCATAAAATGAACAGAAATGAATTGTATAAAAGGACATACAACTCTTTATCCTAGTAATGTATTGAAGTAAGACAAATCTCTTAACCTCTTCCTGCCACCTCCAGGTCATGAACATTTTACACTGTGATCAGTCATCAGGGAAAGTGTTTTCTGTTCCTGAACATAATATCCCTTTGCCAATTTGCAGTATAAAAAGGCTGTAGAGGGAGCGAGAGGACACAGCTGACCTTTATTCCTGCTCCCTCATTGGCTGAATCATAAACAAACTAGATCAAACAACATCATTTGAAAGCTGGGCAGGCCTGGCTGCTTTGCAACAGTTGGTTCTGTTATTGAATGATTGCCCATTGTGTCCACAAACGGCTAGAGCCGACTGACACGTGTCTCTATTGTTTTGTTTTTAGGTTAATTGTTTCTCTTTTTCATCATCCTCCCCCTCTTCTTTACCCCTCTCCACAGACCCTGCATTAATCTAGCTGAATGACAGCAGACAAGTAACGCACAAAAACGTGCCATCTGCCACCCGCCTGGTGCCTACTGGCCTGAAAGAGGGAGCTCGTGATTTTTCTTATTTTGAATCGAAAGGTCGGATGAGTGGTGTGAAGAGTCAAAACCCTGTGCGAATACCTCCTGTCATGTGGCAAACCTCCTTCCAGGGCTGTGAAGCACTATCAAACATTGTGTTAACATAGAACAGGGCAGAACACACTGCAGAGCTCGCAGGATCACAAAATGTTACTTAATAAAGCTTTTTTTCACTACTGCAGCTATAATCTCATTATACCAATATGCTGCTCATATCAGCTCTCTTGCAGGTTTGGTTAACCATTCAGTCATTCTGTAATGCTCCGCTGACGATAAGAATTGTATTGTTTGTATTTGATACATACTCCCTATAGAGAAAAGTGACACGTATCAGGAAAAGCCAAGATAGTGTATTGTTGAATAGATTCTACCGCCTCTATGCTCAGACATACATTTAGACTGATTACGCCTTCAACAACCCTTACAAAAAAACCTTTTGGATTAATAAACCAATATACAAACTGATGTAACCAGCCGAATATAATACAAGTTTATTCATCTGGCTTCCGTAAATGAAATCCCGATTGGCTGCTATGGACTACTGCATTTTTTCACATTTCAGTGCTGTTAACATAGACCTTTTAAATAAGTCCATGTGCATATCAAACATAACACTCTCCTGGCTTCACCCACTGGATTGAACTACTTAGAGTACAATGAGGATAAAGGTGGCCATACACTAGTAGATTTTCGTTTCTGCCACCAACCCTCGTTCGAGTATAGCTCCAATACCCCATCAAGTATAGTCAAATGTCGATTTCGGAAACCGTTCGTTACCCTACTAACCAACCAATTTTTGACTAACTATGGAAATAATTTCCTTGTGCGCATGTGATGCGTTCTTGCTGAGATATTTCATGAAAAAAAAAACCCCACTGATTCATCGATTCTTGTTTGGTCAGAAAAATGTATTACAACCAGACCGATCGAAAAATTTCGATCACAATATCAAAAACGAAAATCGGTGATGTACCATCAACTGTCTGACGTTTGCTCGAAAGACTGTTCGTGTATGATTTCCGAATGCAAAATGTACAATGTATGGCCACCTTAAGGAGACACAGCTACATTATTATTATTATCATACAGGATTTATATAGCGCCAACAGTGTGCACAGCTCTTTAAAATACAAGAAAGACATTGCAGTTACAATACAATTCAAGACAAGATAGTTATGAGGGCCCTGCCCGTGAGAGCTTACCATCTAAAAGTGAGAGCTTACCTTCTGTTGACAGCTAGTCAGTCAGATACAGTTAGAGATCTATTACTAGCAATTTTCTGCAGCTGAATGGAGAGTTAATAGAAACAGAAAGTAGTAGAAATACTCACAGATCTGAAGTAGAGATGTGCATGGGCTTAATGAAACATGAGTTTGCCTGAATTTGCCTAAGCCTGCGCAGAGACACATCCCCTTGCGGCTGGGGCATTTCTTGCCCTGAAGCTACACATAACAAAGAGGACCCCGGCTGCAGCTGATCGGGCAGAGTCACTGAAAATTTTGCACAGGCTTGGATAAACTCAATTCAAACCAAACCCATGCACATCTCTAGTCTTGAGCAGGACAGGAGGAGTTTATTTTGTCCAATGTTTTGATGGGTCATAGTCCATATTTTTCAGTTAATATACAGGTGAAACTCGAATAATTAGAATATCGTGCAAAGTTCATTTATTTCACTAATGCAACTTAAAAGGTGAAACTAATATATGAGATAGACTCATTACATGCAAAGCAAGATAATTCAAGCCGTGATTTGTCATAATTGTGATGATTATGGCTTACAGCTCATGAAAACCCCAAGAACCCCAAATCCACAACCTCAAAAAAGTAAAATATATCATGCAATCAATAAAACAAGGATTGTACATAGAACAATATCGGACCTCTGAAAAGTACAAGCATGCATATGTACTCAGTACTTGGTTTGGGCCCCTTTTGCAGCACTTACTGCAATTACTTTTGCACGATATTCTAATTATTCGAGTTTCACCTGTATATGACCCAGTTTTCTCTACAGATATCCAACAAAAAAGTAGGCCATTTAGTGGATGTAGAGGCTTGCAGTTGGTTGCAGGATTTTTTTTAACATGCTACTCCCATCAATCATGTGATTATTATCTTTTTACTCAAGAACTTGGAGTACTTCTTTCAAGATTCTAAGTAGAAGGAGTCACAGAGGCTTCTAAAACAATTTGGGATGATTTTATAAGACAATAACAAGTTCTTTCAGCTCTCAGAAGAACTAATTATCAAACAGATGTGGAACCTGAGTGTAATTTTAGGTTCCTAGTTTGTTCTTCTATCTGTGGTTCTGTCTTATTGATTTCAAAAACATACATCGTATCACAAATCCCAATCTGCAATAGTACTCTCCTCTCCAGAATACTCCTATGCTGGATTTCCTGGTTTTTAGTCCAGGCTGCCGTGGGGCAAAGTGAATAAACACTTAGGGGTCTATTTATAAAAAACATATGCAAAGCTATTTGTCCCGCGAAATGCATGTCCATTTGTTCTGTGCGAATTAACCAGTATTATTTATTTTCTAATTCCCTCAAGCTTTCTCTGGAATCCCTGTATAAGTAATGTTTACATGTATCTGCTAATTCCTTCCAGTGTTCTCTAGAATTGTTATATTGTATACTTGTTACTCAGATGTATTTCCTATGATCCTCAGCTCCATCTAGTGGCCATAATGCAGTATTTCCTCAATTCCCTTAAGAACATTGGAGTTTGCCCCATTTTCACAACAGCTGATTATTTTGCACAATTATACATGCAGTTTCACTGGACGAAAAGCTATGCAAATCTTTTTTTTTCACTAAAAAAACCCGTTAGTCAACTCTTGAGCATGAGCAGACCAACATTGGAGGAAGGTTGTGAACCTTTGACACCTGTGTGGTCCAATCTGAATCATCAATATACGCAAGATATTTAGCACCCAAACTATACATCAGAATCACTTAAAGTGTCACGGGGATGTCACAATATGATCACATACACTGAAAGACATGGTTAGTATATGAGTGGATTTTACATCCTGCCATTCTATACCCCAATAGATATTGATGAATATGGCCTAACCAGTGGTAATAATCAGAAAGGTGGGAGACACATGCCACAAATACATATCAGTTGATAGAAAGCATTGCTGAAAGATTACAAGACATTTGATTGTCATTTGATTGTCAAGAATAAAGGAACAGTGATAACTGGTATACAAAGATGATAGTAGGTACAGTAAGATGATAGTAGGTACAGAATATGTAACAGCACCGGAGAAAATTCATTCAAAGCTGTTCTTTTGATATACAGTATATACTTTGGTTTTGGAAGCATAATACATCTTTTTTTAAGTGAAACAGATAGAAATCTGTTCAAATATGGAATATACAAATGTTTCAATCATATTATTTATGGTTATATGAAACCAATATAAAGTGTTCCACAATCAAGACTTGAAGATTGCTACTTCACATGTAGAAGAAAGCTAAAGCCTGGTTCACACCTGAGTGGTTTTTTGCGCATTTCGTGCGAAACACAAAAGTCAATGTATTCCAATGTCAAACATTCACACCTGAACGCTCGTACGCGTGGACCAAAATGTGAAACGCGGAAAAATTAGCATTCATTAAAATTTGCACGTTTTTGTCCGCACAAAAAAACGTGCTGAACTGCACACGCTCAG